CTCGGGTGTGTTCTGATGCAACGAGGTAAGGTCATCGCCTACGCCTCCCGACAGTTGAAGACACACGAAGTTAACTATACGACACACGATCTTGAACTGGGAGCAGTAGTGTTTGCTCTGAAGATCTGGAGACATTACTTGTATGGAACGAAGAGCACTATCTTTACCGACCACAAGAGTCTACAACACATATTCGATCAGAAGGAGCTCAACATGAGGCAATAACGGTGGGTCGAGCTACTCAGTGATTACAAATGCGATATTCGTTATCATCCGGGTAAAGCCAACGTAGTAGCAGACGCCCTGAGTCGGAAAGAATATTCTGGTCGCAAGGTCAAGTCACTATCAATAACCATCCATTCACACTTGTCTAACCAAATTCAGGCGGCCCAACTTGAAGCCATGAAACCTGAAAATGTGACGGGTGAATCCCTTAGAGGAATGGACAAGAACTTAGAAGCCAAGGGTGACGGAGCCTTATACTTCATGAATCGGATTTGGACACCGAAACACGGTGGTTTCCGAGACCTAGTCATGACCGAGGCGCACAACACTCGGTATTCCGTCCACCCAGGTTCAGATAAGATGTATCTGGATCTTAAAAAGCTATACTGGTGGCCTAATATGAAAGCAGAGATTGCTACCTTCGTAAGTAAATGCCTTACTTGCGCAAAGGTAAAGGTCGAATACCAGAAGCCCTCTGGTTTACTGCAACAACCAGAAATTCCAGAATGGAAGTGGGAGCGGATCACTATGGATTTCATAACCAAGTTGCCCAAGACAACGGGTGGACTTGATACCATATGGGTCATCGTTGATAGACTGACCAAGTCTGCACACTTCCTACCTATCAAAGAAACTGACAAAATGGAGAAACTTACGAGAACATACATTAGGGAAGTCGTACGATTACATGGTGTACCTATATCCATTATCTCCGATCGAGATAGTAGGTTCACCTCAAGATTTTGGCAATCACTACAACATTCCCTAGGAACAAGGCTGGACATGAGCACAGCCTACCATCCACAGACTGACGGACAGAGTGAGAGAACAATCCAGACTTTAGAAGATATGTTGCGTGCTTGTGTAATTGACTTTGGAAAAGCATGGGATACTCATTTACCCCTCGTCGAATTTTCCTACAACAACAGTTATCACACGAGCATAAAAGCAGCACCATTTGAAGCTCTCTACGGCCGAAAGTGCAGATCCCCTCTGTGCTGGGCTGAGGTGGGTGATACCCAATTAGCGAGAGGGCAAGCTTCCGACAGTACTCTCACTGGTCCGGAAATCATTCGGGAAACGACAGAGAAGATCGTTCAGATTCGTGAACGATTGAAAGCCTCTAGAGACCGACAAAAGAGCTACGCTGATAAACGCAGAAAACCTTTGGAATTTCAGGTGGGAGACCGAGTCCTTCTCAAAGTCTCACCCTGGAAGGGCTTGATACGCTTCGGTAAGCGTGGGAAGCTTAATCCTAGGTACATAGGGCCTTTCGAGATTCTCGCAAGAGTCGGCCCCGTAGCTTACAAACTTGATCTACCCGACACACTTCGTAACGTACATTCTACATTCCACGTATCTAACTTGAAAAAGTGTCTGTCCGACGAGACTCTCGTAATCCCACTCGACGAAATCGAGATCAACGAGAGCCTCAACTTCGTGGAAGAACCTGTAGAGATCATGGACCGTGAGGTCAAGCAGACGAAGCAAAGCCGTATCCCTATCGTGAAGGTTCGCTGGAACGCCAAGCGAGGACCAGAATTCACTTGGGAACGCGAGGATCAGATGAAACTGAAACATCCTCATCTCTTCGCTTAGTTATTTGTAACTTCTTATTTGCTTAAATTCTAATTTCGGGACGAAATTCCTTCTAACGGGGGATGATGTGACAACCCGAAATTTTCATTTGTACGAACATCATCTATTCAATAGAAGCTAGTCCAATTTCTGTAAATTTCAGACTTGTCCGAACAAGTTTGTGTACATTAGGGTTTACGTTTCTGGACATATCTGGAGAATGAATGCTCCTATGATCGTGAAACTTGAACACTGAAAGTTTCACAATATTATAGTCCGACTCCCGGAATAAAAATATTTTCTGTCAAAATATTCCAGGACTATAAATAGTTTTCAGAACTAAATTAGTTCATTATTTACAATTCCAACTAGAGAAAAGCCAATTCTCTCTGACGGATCTTCGGGTTTTCATCCCGGATTGTGAGTCTGCTTTCCTAAACATGTTTTAATGCTTCCTATATGCCTTATAACATCATTTTATGTCCAAAATCAACAAGATTAGAGGAGTTTACGGCCAAAGAACACCTAGGCCGTAAACCCCTTTCAAATGGGCAAACAAGCCCTATCTTGCCTCCTTGAGCTTTGAGACTTTAACCACTAGTTCTTGTGCTTGTTTTGGACATAAAAACACTTCCAAATGAAAGAGTTTTAGGAGTTTACGGCCAAGGAAAGGATCTTGGGCCGTAAACCCCCTTTTCTTGTGTAAAAATCATTCCAAGCACACCTAAGGCCTTAAGACAAATTACCTTGCATACTTGGGACTAGAATGGAGAGTAGAACACATCAAAACAACTCCTTGAAAAGAGTTTACGGCCAATGAACATATCTTGGGCCGTAAACTCCAAGTGATGCCCTAAATGTGTGCATCTTGTCCCCATAAGCCTTAGATAAATTCATGGAAGCCATCCTTGATGTTTAAGAGCCTCAAATCAATTTAATCCAAGAGTTTACGGCCGTAAACTCTAGGGTGAATGCTTTAGGCCGTAAACTCCCATATGGAGTGTTCTAGAGCCTTAAACTACTTCATGTGTTATTCCAACAAAGCTAGGAGTGAGCTAGGACCAAGATAGCACCATAAAACACCCAAAACCAACCTTTGAGGAGTTCACGGCCATAAACCCATGAGTTTACGGCCGTAAACTCCAAGATGTGGGGTTTGTTGGGTGGTAAACTCCTATACAAGGCCATTTGATGTTTCAAACCCTTTTGCCTTGTCCCGTAACAACTTAGATGCAACCATTTGAACCTTAAACACTCATAAGAGTGCTTACATGTTCCTAATTGTATTAACTTACTTTGTTAAGTTATTATGTGGCTAATTAGTTATATATATGCTTATTATATGATAACTAGGCTCGTACGTGTGAACAAGTCTCCGTTTGACACTTAGCACGGTACCCGATACCTCAATTCAAGCGACTCACCACATGTGAGTTCATACCCCTTGAATCAACCTTTGAAATGATTTTAAATGTTTTAAACACTTTATGGGGGGGGATACAAGTCAAATACTTATAGTTATTGCTTCAATCACATGTGATTGCCTTTAATCACATGTGATTAATAACTAGGAAAACAACGATTTTTACCAATGTTCAAACTGTTTCACTTCAAACGTTTTACAAACTCTTTTTACTTATCAAATGCTTTTATTAAACTTTGTTCTACTTCTTATAAATTGCATGCCCATATACGTATAGATGTATAAATAATGTTTAAAAGGCTTAGGAAAGCCACCTATCCTATTTCCTTTTCCTCGATTTGGATGTGGTCTGGTGGAGCTTCGGGTGACCATCCGAAAGTCGTTTCAACATTAGTTATATATAATATATACATGTATAGACAAAAAGTACTTCCATACTCATATTTATCAGTACATCAATAGTTAGTTACCATCGGGGTAACACAGTACAATACATATACATATACTAGAAACAATACATATACAATGATACTAGAAACAATACATATACAATGATACTAGAAACAATACATATACAATGATACTAGAAACAATACATATACAATGATACTAGAAACAATACATATACATATACTAGAAACAATACATATACAATGATACTAGAAACAATACATATACAATGATACTAGAAACAAAACATATACATATACTAGAAACAATACATATACAATGATGCTAGAAACAATACATATACATATACTAGAACGAGAAACAGTACATATACATGAATACTTTATTATGGTGATTTAAATCGGAGCATGACTTAACTGTCATGGCTCGAGTTGTAGCCAGAATTCTCTTGAAGGGAGAGCGTTGAGTTTGCGTATAGATCTATACTGGATTGACAATCCTACACCTTGCTGCTAGCTACAGCCGGACCTGCAGGTCTGCGGGTGCCAAACGTCATTCCGTTATTACGACCATTCATTTGTCGTTGTTACTAGTCGATAGTATGGTGCAATTTATCACGTAATGCCTTAATATAAATCCGGTTTAAGGTAGTTAGTACCGCAGTAGTTCTTAAAACACAAAGGCTACAGTACTACATTAATTTACCCATTACATATTTTAGTGATAACCTCACTTACACGTTTATGTACAAACTATATTTTGATAAATGATAGTTACATTTGGGAAATTACACACTTTTACATCAAGCGAACATACAAAACAGTTAAACCTTGGTAGAAGGCTTCTTTAATAGAAAATATAGGTTTTTCTGAGAGATTCAAACTTTTACAAACGATTGCAAACTTTTACATACATTTTACAAACTTATACTTGATACAGATTCAAACATTTTTAAAGAACAACTTCTGACACTAAAATACTTATGAACTCACCAGCTTAATGTTGATAAACTCTTTCAAAATAACTTGTATTCTCCGGTCGTCAGTAGACAGGTACCGAGACCAGCTTTTGAGAAGATGGAGCGCATTCAAGACTCATCTTATTATTTTGATATACGTTATTTTTGGTGTCTATAATGTATAGAACACGCTTGTATTAAAATTATATATATTTAATGCAATGGATGATGTTGTTTGCTTATTTACATTTACTGTGTTGTGATACTTACATGACGTCCTCCGCCCCAGAACGTTTCCGCCGTTCTTGGTTTTTTGGGTGTGACAAACACCCTTTCTCCTTAGCCAACCAAAGTCTTCTAATGGCAATAATCGCGTTTGCCTTTAAAAGTCAACCGGTGTTCTCCCTACGCAGGTAACACCCTACACGTATTACCACGGTCTTCCGAGTAGGATATGTAATACATAGGGACGACCTCACACCAGACGTCTTGCTCTAACTTCCCCAGCCCCAACTGACCCACCATCTCCGTGGACGCTAGGTTATCCGAACTCCCAGCATCAATGATCATCTTCGCACTGTCCAATTCGGACATAGATTTAGAATACATCCTTCCGTCTCCTCCTCCTTTCTGCTGGTGTTGGCTCACGTTGCCACACAATCTAACGACAACAAAACAGTCTCCTCTCCTAAGCTTCAGAACCCTTGCTATGTTTCCGACTTTCACTTACCTTTAGAGCTTCCCGGGCTCTAGGCTCCACAACGTGCACTCTTCCATCTTCAGCTGGTCTATTCTGCACTCCCCCAGCAGCATTCGTCCGTTTGAACATTGGGGCAGTAACGAGAAAAATGCCCCACTCCTCCACATTCATAACAGTTACCGGATCTCCTCTGCAGCAAGTTCTGCTGGCCTCGTGCTCCAAACTGATGGCATCTCGACGTTCTCCTTGAAGCCGTCCTGACGCTCTCCCCCTTTAAGAAGTTTGTAAAAAGGCTCAAGTTTTTTGGCTTCCTATAATAGAAACCCCTCCTAGGTTGTGGCAACTTTCTACTCCTCTTGAGCTGTCTTGTCGTAAAAAAAAGAAAATTGCTTCGAGCATCCGGCTTCACCACCGCTGCCTGCTCTCTCCTTCTTCGACGCTTCCCAGTCCAAAACAGACCTGATCTTCTCTTGATCCATCTGAATCACACCCTTGCTGATCCAATGGCCAAGAAATAGCACTTTAGTCTGAGTACCCTTTCACGTACAACCTCTTTTCCTGCTGCACCCGGAACACTATATTCAGGGTTCCAAACCTCTAGTGAGTGACTATAAACGATTATGTCATCGAGGTTTTCCTGGTCAAGGTAAGGCTTTGAGTTATCTGTTTAAGTGCGGAACAAGACCTGAATTAGGATGATATTCATAGAGCGGTTACTCTTTGTGTACGTTATGGAGTTTCCACTCCTTGTTGAAAGCTCTTTCAAATAGCATGAGCGTTGAAAGTCTTCAATTAGATTAGAGCGTTAGATACTTTTTTTTTTTACTTCTTTCAAAGGGGGAATGAAGAAAAGAAGAGAGGAGGAAAGTGGTTCACTGGAGTTTGTCTCTTGAAAATGGTTATTATCTTGAAGGTCTTTTTCTCTATTTTCTTTCATGCAATTAAAGCCAACAAATAAGAGAATTAGGGTGTTAAAAAAAGAACCCCAAACCTGCTTGTTTAGAGAATAAAACTGTTCCTGTCTGCTTTTTCTTTTTTGATTGATTTTATGACCGATAGAAATGGAAACTTTTTTATTAGATGCCCTATACCACCCTCTTTAGTAGATCCTAACACGAATTAGGTACACTACACAATGAGGATCACAATCATTGATACAGTTTGGATACCAAGCTATCTTATAAATATATTTACAAAAAAGCCTTCGATGTAGTGATGAAATTGTGATACATAATCAATCCTATTTGTTTTGTTCATTACTAAAGAATCCTATAAAATCTCTCTTTATCGTTTGAATTACTCATATATATATATATATATATATATATATATATATATATATATATATATATATAGATCCTATGAATTTCATTTCGCACCGGAAACTATTCTAGGAGTAGTTCGAATCTGTTCCGTTCGGATATTGATCGGTCTTGGTTTGACATGGTTTACACGTTACTGGTTCCCAGAAGAGTTAATATCTCCATTAGCTAAACCCTTTCTTATTCTTACCATGCCTTTGGACTCGTATTTTGTTTGTACACAATCAACGGAGGCCTCCCCGACATATCTTGCAACGTCTTTAATAGCATGCTCTTACTTTGTCTTTCCCTTAATAAGTCATCAAATTTGGTGCTTTTTGATCCCTAGTTGCTATGGGGAACAAAGGACGAAATACAATCGATTCCTCCATTTAAGTGGTTCTTGCTTCTCCTAGTTGCTATCCACCCTATTTCCTTTTCGCATCTTGAGATGTGGTCTGGTGGGATTTTGGGTATTCGTCCGAAGGTCGTTTAAATATTAGTTATATATCATGTACACATATATAGTCATAAAAGGTCCATCCAGTTCATCCTATGCCCTTGGGTAGCATACGGGTAGTTCAGGAAGATACTAGAACCATTGCTAGAACGCGATATCATTCAATGAGTCAGTTCATTCATGAGTCAATACTTTCTAGAACATTACTGTACATTACATATACAACTATACTAGAACGTTTACATTACTATACTTGCTAGATAGAGAGAACACACATTACAGCTAGCACACATAGACCATTACAGTTCATTACATTACAGCTAGAACAGTACATTACATTACATATACGAGAATACGTGAGTTACTATGATTTAAATCGGAGCATGACTTAAAACCTCATGACTTGAGTTGTGGCCAGAATTCTCTTGAAGGGAGAGCCTGAGTTTGCGTATACATCTATACTGGATTGACAATCCTACACCTTGCTGCTAGCTACAGCCGAACCTGCAGGTCTGCGGGTGCCAAACGTCATTCCGTTATTACGACCATTCATTTGTCGTTGTTACTAGTCGATAGTATGGTGCAATTTATATCAGAATGCCTTAGCCTAAAATACGGTTTAAGGTAGTTAGTACGGTAGTAGTCCTTTTAGAGCTACGTTTTAGTACTACGGTAATTTTTCCATTTACATATTTTTAGTGATAACCTCACTTAAACATAAATGTGCAAACTATATCTTTGGATAATGATAGTTATACTTTGGAAAATACATCCTCTTACAAGAGACACACACATGCAGAACAGTTAGGTCTTGGTAGAAGACTAGATTCATAACAGTTAGGTCTTGGTAGAAGACTCCTTTTGTTATTAATAGGAATCATAGGGATTCTAGGGTTTTTCAAACACTTACAGTTCATATACACTTTCAATACTTTTAAGTACATATACTTACATTTTCTCACATACAAATTAAGACACTAAATACTTATGATCTCACCAGCTTTAAAGCTAATACTCGCTTTAAGACACTAAATACTTATGATCTCACCAGCTTTAAAGCTGATACTTGCTTTCAAAATTACTTGTATCCTCAGGTCATCATAGACAGGTACCGATGCAAGGAGAAAGGAAGATGGAGCTTGTTCAAGACTTATCTTTCATTTTGATTTATGCTTTAGTGTTTATCAAAATTTGACAGAACACATTTGTATAATAATTATATTATTAATGCAATGGATGATGTTGTTGCTTGTTTACTACTTTACATTGTTGTTGATATTATACATGACGTCCTCCGCCCCAGAACGTTTTCGCCGTTCCTGGTTTTGGGGTGTGACAGATTGGTATCAGAGCATTGTTTATAGTGAATTGAGTATATCAACCCATAAAAGATATACTAACTATAAATACATAAGGGATTAAAAATACTCTGACCAAGAGTTTATACTTTAAATAGTAAAATATTTAAGTAGGTATACGTGCTGCATTCATACTAAAATCAGTGTCACTAGGACAGTACAAAAGAATTACGATTGTTGGACAACACAAGTGGGCTTAGAGACATATGGTCAAAACTGGAAGATATAGCCTGATCGCCTATATTATCCGAGGGTTGACTAGCATGTGCCTAAGTTTAAGTGTGTGGTTGCAACAATGCTAAAATCTTACCAACCCTACCACAATGAGAACAATAGAACCTAACAATAAATTTAAAATACTATAGGTGTATTTTGGTGTTACTATGAGTACTTTATACTTGAGAATTAAAACGGGATCTTCATTACTAAGTTGATAGTTGCTAAGTGGATACACTAAGGCTGCATGTAATTAGGATTATAGACTTAGAATCTGTGATAATTTTGCCTTACCCCTATTCTGTGTGAATTTGGAATTAAGGTCACTTATTCGAAGGTCTATCCTATTTAGATTACACATAGCTGGTATGCACTTCACAAATAGCGATGTAACTGATGAAGATTTTCTACATAATTATCTAGATAGATCGTCTAATAATTATTCTTTTACCCTAAATTCTCGCATAGAAAACATAACTGGACTCCATCCCCTCGATAGCCAGTACCTTCCGAATGAAGTCATAGCTGGTTGGTTTGGAGAATAACCAGAGAATGATCATCCTGTTCCCCTTGAATGATCACCATGATGAAGACCTTTCGTCTGATGCTAACTCCGAACCAGAGTTTGAGAACCTACCCGAGCAGCTCCCTTTCCAATTCCTAACCCTCGTCCGGCTTTTCATGGCCCGACCCTGAGTGAGTGGAATGCTTGGAAACAAGGAGCCAAGGACAAGATCAGCCTATGCTATTTGATGGCGACCGAAGCTTTTACGACTTGAGGAATGAGGGCTTAGCAGATATAGTCTTGCCAATCTTGGTCCGCAGAGTGGCCCGAAATGAGATTCAAGGCAGGACAGCCCTACATCAGATTACAGAAGTTGTCGCCTATGCTAGAATGCATACCCTCCACACCATCCATCTAGAAGATGCACACGAGAGATCAGAGAGAGACCATGAAATCCTTCTGCAAGCACTGGCTGAATCACGAGCCGAAGTCATAGAGCTCCAGGTACGCCAGATGGTGCGTGAAAGACACCTACTTGACATGGAACGTCAATTGGTTGAACTACGAGTTCACCAGAGGGATGACCGTCGCCAGTTGTAGACGCTTTACTTTATTTCCCTTATAAAAAAGGAATCGTATTTTCTGTCTATGTCGGATGTGGCATTTTCTATGAAATTATCTTGTACCGTAAGTACTTTAGTTAGGTCTTTATGCTGTCAGGAACTATCTTTAGTGTATATGATGTAAGACCTTTCCAAGGTCATTTTCCAGAATCTTTACATCGTGAATATCACAGATATTGACAGCCGGCTAACTTCTGTGTCATTCTTCATTCAAGTACTCTTGTCATTCATTCATAAGAGTCTATCTGAATCATGCTTTAGTCAAATCATTGGACTATAGCGATTTATCTCCAGAGGCATTTCCAAGTCTCTTTCAGTGGTTGGATCTTGTTATTCACTAACCCACTATACCTCAGCTCGAACGACAAACGTCTTGAGACCATTCTACGAACATACTTCCATTCCGTACTAGGACTGCATCATAGGGATGTAGGTCAAACCTTAGTGAACATACTTTCATTCTTTACCAGGACTGCATCATAGGGATGTAGGTCAAACTTTCGAGATAATACTCTTACTGTTTCATGAACAATCTAAGTACATCAGGGTCAACCAGAATCGCTCACAAAATCTTTATTCTTTCGTGTCAACAGAATCATGTCGTCATCCGGAAACAACCAGCCAAGCAACGAGACCTCTACTTTTTCGATGGACGCCGCTACCTTTCAAACGACATTAACAGCTGCTGTAGTGGCTGCCGTAACCGCGGTCATTGCGCACCGTAGCGCTAGCAGCACAGTCGATACTGCTGATGGGAATGAAGTTCCCAATCGTGATATCCATCCAGGAAATCACCAAACAGGAACAGTCATAGGCTCGCAAAGCCAGAAAGCAGAGAACAAGAAACGAAAGCGTCAAGCCCGGAAGGAACGCAAGAGAGCCCAAAAGCTGGCTATACAACAGCAGCAAGTGGAAACCCCTGCCATCCCAGTGTCGAGCAGGCCATACGAGGGAAAACTCCCGAAGTGTGATACTTGTGGTTTCCATCATCATGGAAATTGCCATGAGATGCAATG